GATAAAATAATGCGTTTATTAAATTTACAGCCTTGAAAATAAATTACAAAAACAGACGTTCCCAAAAATTTAGTATATGTAATTTAAATTTGTATATTATATTTTTTATTTAACACGTTTGAAAATTTTCAAGTGAGTATATCGTTAACAACGATTAATCATATAAGAGTAACTTTTTATGCTTACTAAACAAGAGTAAGTATGGTTAAAAAAAATTTAAGTACAGGGTGATTGTTTAAAAATAAGACTTTTTTTTGGAAACTATTGAACATTTTTAATTTAAGTAAAGCACAGAATTATTTGATATAATAAACTATATTTATCGAAAATATAAGTCATTTATGTTATATGATTAAAAATAAATTCATTAAAATTAGACAATGTAATTCATCTGTTGTTATTTATTACTATAGATGTAAACAACTCATTTTCTAAAGAAAATGTTTAATAAGAAGCACCTTAGATCAAAGTAATGCATTGTATTTTAATTACTAACAAAAGAAACTTATCATTGAAACTTTATAAGACAAGAAAAATATAGCTGTAAAAAAACTTTCATAAAAACAAGTAACTAAGACTTTTTAATGACTTATTTTTTTGATGTAAGTCTAACTACATGTTTTTTTGTTAAATTATGTTTAATTTAATCATTTTTTTGTAAGATGCAATTAAAGACAAGATGTACATTATAAATATATTGTATCACGATTTTTTCGGCTACTTGTTAAACTATTTATATTTCTTTAAAAATAAAATTTATTATACCCAATTATTCTTTATGACTACTTGTTATTTTTGATATATGAGATATATCTTTATTTATTGTGATATTTTGTTATATCGACATTATTGAGTAATTGTTAGAAAGTAATATAATGTTAAATATAATAAAAAGGTAATATCACTAACAAGCAATAAATAAAAATAGATTAAATACATAAAATACGAAATCAGTTATGTTATTTTATAAACAAATAATTGTAAGTATCTAACAGAAATTAAAATCTACGTGGCTTTGAACATTTAATGTTCCAATAAACAATTTGTTTAATTGAACAAATGTCGTTCTTAATGTATGCAACTCAAATTAATTATAATTAAGCTGGCATTTAAGTGTAATATATAACAATAAGTCTTCAGTAAATCACATTAAAAATGTATCATTATAGTTTGTAATTAGTTGTTTTGGGCAAGGTAAGATTAATATGTGTTGGAAGTTATTAAGTTGGTTATTACTTTTTGGAGACATTAAGAGTTTTTGTTGTTATGTACATATACATCGTCAGTAACTTTTAGCAACATTTGGTTAGTAAAACATTTTCATCTGTTTGGTATTCAAGGAAAATATGATAAAAAATTGTTTTGTAAACTCTCGCAGATGTATTAATTTTTGGAAAATTAAGCCTCTAGTGAATATGGAATTATAGGAAAATGTCGAATGATGTAAAAAGCTCGTAATAAATAATACAAGATATTTCATGTCGAATATTTAGATTTTTAGTATGGTTAATTTTCAATATGAGTGGTTTCAAAATATTTCAGTTCAAATCATGAATACTTTTCAGTAGCTTTGAACATCTGACGGAGATAGAAGCTTAAAGTTATCTGTTCTACCGCAATTATGGATTGGTCAATGGATAAATGGATTTAAAGCACACAAATTGTTAGGTTTTGAGGGATAACTGAATAATAAATATATTTCTATAATAACTTATAACGGACTAACTTCTTTAATTCTATTGAAAAACTGCGAAAGTCATCTTTTTGAATTTTCAATTCTTTAAGTTGAAAGTCTTTATTTTTCCAAATATTTTAGTTGCCACTATTGTTATACAGGAATATGAAAAACGACTTTTTTAGATGCTTTGTTAGTCTCAATTGCAAACTTATTTTTTATTGTTAATTTTTAATAGTTTATTTTTAGTATTGAAAAGTTAAAAAATAAATAAAATTTATTATATATCTTGATCAAATATTTTCTTCTAGTTATAAAAAAAAAAAATTGTTTACTATTATTTGTGTCACTATTTTTTGTAATTATTATAATGTAATTTTTAATTAAATATGAGTATACAAAAGTTTTTCCTTCTGTCTATAATTAAAGTTAATTATTTATATTTAAATATTAACTTATTACATAAACTCTAATACTCTCTAAATAATGATTCATGATATTTAATTGTCTAAAGTTAAAGATCAAATGAATATATAACAATAAGGGCGATAAACATCTACCTATCAAGTCAATATTTAATAATAAAACTTTATGCTCATAGGAGGAATTGACTTTTAATAATGATTGGCTTATTAAAGTAATTAATAATATACATAATACAGTTTTAGAGATACTAAAAGACTAAAAAGTTATTTAATAAAAAAAGACTCTAGAGTGTTTATCGCACAGTCACGATATCTTTAATCGATTTTTGCAAAGTTAACAAAATACGAATTAGTCACCTATTTAATTTTCAAAAGTTATATCTAAGTTCTTGACTAAAAAATCAATTTTTATGCATATAAATTACAATTACATAAAACTATTCTAAATTAATCAAATTTTTGTAAAGTAGTTTTTGGATAATTTTTTCAATGTGTGAAATACATTTTTTATTCTGAGTGAACAAAGAATTTATATTTTATAAAACGTACAATAAACAATATATAGGCGACTAAATTCAAAACATGTAAGCAGCTAAATATTTGAAATATCATTTGATAACACTATATATTGATGTGTATAATTTTACTTGTGTTTTATTATTTTATATAAAAAAAATATTTTTAAACGAGTATTAAGTATTTATCTTTAATTAATATATTAATTAAAATTCAATAAAATTTGTTTATATAAAAATTTAAAGTGGTGTATTTATATTCTGCTATGGTTAAAACGAAAAACTATATGTAATTTCAATTGTTTTATTTGTAAATAAGTTTTGAGTATTTATTGAATTGTGCGTGTTCAACAATACAATGTCCATCATGTTGGTAGTCTTCTAAATAGAAGCGACGATCTTACCAAGTACTGATTCAGCAACATTGTAAAATAAACAAACTAAAGAACGTGCAAAAGTAAGTATTGCGAAGATCTTCAAAAAAATGCCTTAGAAAATACAAAAATTGAATTTACAATGTAAAAAATGTGAAAATTAAAAAAAAACACTAGTTTATTTATAAAATTTGTTTAACACATAAAACAGATTTGATAAATTGATCTTATTTTTTGTTATTATGCATAAATAAATTAAAAATTTTTATACAAGTATAGGTTTAGTAAAAAAAAAAAAAAAAATTAAATCTAATTTTAAGGCGTTAAGTAAAATAAAATAAAAAGTATTTTTTTAACTGAAGTATAGCTTTATATTTTTTGTTACATATGTTTATTGCTTTTATTGAATTGACACCAAATGTTTGAAATTTATCAAAAATATATTTTTTTATTACCCTTTTTAAATTTTTGTGTTCATTTGTGAGTCAATTTTATTTAATTAAACATTTTTTCGTAGATATTAAATCAAATTCCATATATATGTATGTTTTAATAGCATGTAAAATATTGGTTGATATAATATAGTAGATATAAATTAGTATAATATAATAGCGAAGCATGATTGCTAGTGCTTTATTTCAAAATATGAATTGTATTATGAGCATTATTAATTATATTTTCTAAGTCTTTTATTTTATATATCATCCATCTTCAAAATTATACTTTAAATTGACTCGGAATAGTTATAGTTCAAATAATATATGTATATATAAGAAAGTTTAATAGTTTTGATTTTCCAAATATAAATCACTTATAAAAATGTCATAAACCGAAAAAATAGTTGATGTTTGAATCAATAAGTTATTATCATTCATAGAAAACTTTAAGTTTCAATATTACGGTATTCTGGACATATTTTTATCAACAACAGGGTTGTTATACCAAAAATTTAGAATTTATATTGATTAATAAGATGTTTTAAAGTTTAAAGCTGTTTAATTATGTTGTAAACTAAATTTTGGTTAACATGTTTTTTAACAATCCTGATTCTCATAACTGTAAGTATCATTCACATATTTCACAAATCGCTATTTTAATAATAAACATATTCAAAAGTTCATAATTATAGAGATGCACTTACGTCAATATAAACATACACATTTTGTAATTATCTCATTGGACAAAATCATATTCGTCCAATCATTAACGCCCACCATCTATGGTATGTCATTATAATTATTTAATTCGTATATTTTCATATTTTGTTCTAATTTTCATTCATTTCTTATTTATATTTTTAATAAAACATATAATGTTATCATTATTCACGTGTTATATTCAAATATTTAAATGACATGTCATAAGAATTAAATAAATTATAATAATTAAGGTAAGATAAGAATGGAAGTTCTTCGATGTAAAATTGTTCAAATATAGACGATAAAAAAGGGGTGGATAGTAACCATTTTTCATATGATTAAAGGTATGAATGAGATTTGGGTAATCTTAAGGTCATGGGATTAATTCATAAGATTGTTAATATTTAACTATATAGGAATACGATGATAATTATGTGTTCTCTTATAAATTTTGTCTTATAACTTTTTTAAAAGTTATGATATCCAAGCAAAAAAATTAAATCCTATCAATTACAGCAAACACCTTAATAAATAGTCTAATAATAAATAATTTAAAAGAAAATTTAAATTGAAAATGTACCTCTCACAAAAATCTTCAAATATAAGAACTGACATAAAAAAATATTCTAAGTCTCAGAGAGCGTAGGATTTGGGACTGATGCTATACTTAGATTATTAAAATAAACTTATAATCAAATTACCCCAAAATTGCTTTTTATAAACTGTTTTCTAAGTATAAAATGATTATTTAAATAAAGTTGCATTTAGAAACTTATTAAAATTTGTATAATAATGAACAATAGAATACTCAATTTCGAATTTAACTAAATCAAATTTGATGTAACTTGTTTTATTTGTATTTTAAATCTTACCTATTGCTTTAGAAATATTAAATCGAAATATGAGGTAAATGAGGTATGTGGATATTTTGAAATACTGTTTAGTAACGTTGTCTTCAATTTTGTGTGTCAGTTATTATTTGAAAGCTGTCTGACATGTGCCAAACAAATAATTTTCAATTAGCCTGAAACAAACAAATTTGAGTTGGGTATTAAATGTTGATGGTATTTCTCTGGTGGCGCGATGTCATTATTATTATGACGTCGCTAGAATAAAGTGTGGGCAGTCACAATGATGAGAAAATATATAGTGCGCTAGTGGTCTTTATATTAGTAACTGCATGGTGCTTTATGATATATAAATATGAGTTCATTCACAAAAACTTTTAATATTACCTATTCAGAGGTATTAACCGCCATGTAGGCTAACAATAATTTCATAAAACCTTTTCTGGCAAGCATATTCGGTACTTATATACTTCATTTTTATTGACTGAACAAAGTAATTTCACTTTCGGTGAATTTTACATGGTTTTATATAGGGAATTATAACACTTCACTATTTTCTTAAAGTCAATAACCGTTTGTTCTAAGTGGTTGTGGTTTTAAGTGCGGCAAAATAATATTAAGTTCACAAGGTGCAAACCATTTAACAAAGCATATAAGGTAACAGTATTGTGTAGGTGTACATAATGTCTGATGCTAAATCATAATATGCGATACTTTTAAGCCATAATCTTTCCAGTGCCTTCCAAAATTACTCTTTCGATTAGACAATTTTTAAATGTTTTCAGTTTTCCAAATATATATCTCGCCGTATTGTATTGAACTAACATTATTTCAAGTTTATGCCCTTGAGATATCGGAAATGTTGAATTATGAAATAACCAGCATATTATATAATAACATTAATAAGACCAATTATGTTTTGTAAAGTTTAACTGACAAAATATGTTCAAAGAAAACAATATTCTAAATTAAATTTTTAATGAAAGTATAAATATTAAAGAACAACTGTCTAAAAACTTTACATTTTTGGATTTCGTGGATTAAATAATAGAAATAAATATTACAAGGATCGTGTTTGGTAGTCGTCGCGACGACTACGAAATGAATTACAATTCAGTAGCAATATTAGTAACTAATATTTTAATAATTTTAACTGTTAAAATTTACGCACTTGTAATTGAAATTTCATTTCAAATTCATCAATTGTGAACAAATTCATTTTAGTTAATAGAACGAATTAAATCATGTGCACGTAAAATATAATTAATATTTGTTTGACATTCAAGTAATAAAATAATATAGACAATATATTTTGTTTTATATAACGCTTTAAATCTAATGTAAAATTCATTATGAGCATTGAAATTTAATCTGAAATCACAGAGTAGTTTTACGTAATAAATTTTAAGTTTAATGGTTTGAAAATATTGATAATTATCTAAACCCAAATATTATATTAAAAATATCACTCGAGTGGTCATTATTATGGGGCCATTTACACTCCATAAAAACATGATAATAACGCGGATTTATTTTTTTTTAACTGTAAACCTTTTAATAAAAAAAAAAAAATGCTAATATAAAATAATAATTAAAAGTTGTGACTTAAAATACTTATGAGAAGTTTACGACAGCATAGCTATAGGATCGCATTTTCCGTCTAAAATATTTCAGTAGGCCAAATGGACTTTTTTATATTATAGTCTGCCGAATCGATTGTTTTACTATGAGAATTCGAGAAAGTAAAAAAAAACTTTCAATTAAGTAAATAATTTAACAATCATTTCATTATTTAAGTAAAAATCTAAAATATATGAATTGTATATATATATATATATATATAAATTTACAAATTTACAAATTATTATGAAATTCAACAGATTAGCATCAAAGCGTTTTTTATGATGGTGATGTAATTCACAATCAGAAATCATATACAGGTGATTTATTAAGTAAACAATCCTACTTTTTTGTTAATTAATGATTTTTTCATAAAAATTAAATTAATTTTTATAAACTATTGTAAATATAAAATGTATTGTAAAAAAAAATTATAAGGGAAGGCTTTAGGTGTAACTTTCAAAATTTAAATGGGAAACTTAATTTTTTTAATACTAAATAGAGAATGGTTTAAATAAAATTATTACTGGTCGATAACGAGCTTTATATTATTAATTTTTGAAATATTAGGATTTGATGGTTTAGAAAAGGTAAAGTGTGGGTTAGTGTTTAGTGGCACTTAAATTTTACTATGATGTACAAGTAAGAATTCTTCTACTCGCTTGCTTATAACTAAAAATTATAATAACTCCTGAACTATAAACATATTTTGTGACTCTTTTAATTTATTAGTTAAACAATTGTAATTATAAGTTGAATAGAAAAAAAAATTAATGGTGAAAAGTTCAGCTTTTTTTTTTAAAGGACATATTTTCCAGAGCTACTGTTTCAAAATTTGTTATCGATAAGTCATTTTCTTAAATAGATTATTTCCTATTATATAAGCTAGTTTAATATTTATATTTATATTTAAAGTACACAGTTGGTACCCTCACAAGAGATGAACAAAATAAGTTTTTAACGATTTAAAATTCAATAAAAAATATTACTTAAATAAGTAAAAAAAAAAATGCTCAAAATCATTATTCATAGTATGATATACTATCCATTATAAAAGATAGACATTATACTATAATACACACAAATTAATTCATATATATTTCATTTAATACGGTATAGTATTAAATAAAATCGTTATACGTAGACCTGATATAAATCCCTAGAAGGTTGGAAACGGTAGTTAAAAATTTTAATTATTTTATGTGGCATTTTATAAAGAAGAATAATGAACAGAGCTTACGGTTTATTGGAATTTCAGTTGAAAACGTCGATTAACATTAATGGATATTAATTCTTTTCATTAATTAAACAAAAAAATCTTTATAGAAAGAAAAAATATCCGTTATTGCATTTTCAGTTTTAACATAAATTATTTTATTTTATTCGTGCTTAAAATATTATTTTTGTCTCTCTTTTTGAATTGTATCTCATAGTTTGCAACGCAAAAAAAAGTTTTTTAACACTTCAAGGCATTTACCAATTGTAAATACAACTTACAAATCCAAACTATGGTTTTTAATTTTATGATTTACGATAGTTGTTAACCGTTAATGATATTGATAATTTTTATTTTTAAAAATATTATTTTAAATTGGAAGAGCCATTATTATCTCGCTACATTATTCGCATAAGTTTAGCATAAAAATCATATTATTTTGCAATTTGTTGTTAATTTAATTGGACGTCTATAATACAAACACGTTAACTCACCATTAAACTATAATTTAATTATTAGTTTTGCATTTTCTGTGTACTGCTAATGTAATATTGTAAATTTGTGTTTCACATTATAGCACTTACATTACAATAGCTAAATCTGGATGTATATCTTATAGATTTGGTAGAATATTTGTTTAATTATCTTATTTTAAGTTTGATAAATATATAATACTATCTAGACTTAAGATTTCTTTAGAGTCTATTACAAAATAATCAATTGAATTCCATGTATACGATTTTATTAATTTATGGCATAGATAATTCATAGCTAAATACGTTATTTATGACTACCACAACAGATAATACAAAGTCAATTAAAATTAATAAAATTTAAACAAAATTTATAACCAAAATATACTTTAAAATAATTTAAAAAATTAATAGAAAAATGGTTGAAGATTTACACAATAGTAAAATAAGAACAACAGTATAAAAGTATGTGAAAAACCAAGTTGAAAAATGTTAATTAAATTTTACAAGTACTTGTAAATAAATATATTCATTGTTCTGATATTATTTGATAACATTTCCTATCTAAATAAGTAAAAATTGAATCTATTCATAAAAATTCAATTTATTTCCTTTAAAATACTCAATGCAGTTTCTGAAAACCTAATGATAAAAATCTATAAATGTTTACATACAAAAAATTGAAGGAACTATTGTGTAAATATTGTATAGCAAGTATCAATAAATTACGATAAAAATAATTTATAACTCACTGATAACCTACAAACAATATTTATTATTTACTGTAGTAAAAATAATTCAATTTTATATTAATTTTTATAAATAATACTATCAAAAAGTAGTTTTAAATTTGATTGAAAACACACATTTTTATAATATTTGAAGTATTATCAAAAATCATACTTAAAACCAGTTTATTAAAAAATTAAATGTCAAATCAAAACATTTAAATTTCAAATCTAATCAGAGGAATACTCCCAGGTGGCTTTATTGTTGTAACAAGAATGTAAATTCTTATGAGAAATTCACTTCTTAATTTTATCGATTTGTTAAATAAATAGTAGTATACAATAAATAGTATTATTAATATAAAGCTGTAAATAATTGTAGTTTCCAGACAAAATAAAATACAATTTTGCAATTTAGAGAGTAGATTGCAATAAATTTAATTAAAATATTTAATATTTTAATGGTGTGATTCAGGAGTTATATTAATATTCTGTACATTTTAATATATATAGATTGTTCAGTAAGTAAAGTAACGGGTTTATATTGTTGTCATTTTTGTAACAAAATTTTTTTTTACCTGTTTCCTTGCTTCCTAAACATACTGTATACTACATATAGTATCGTATATATGTATATATATATATTTCACATTTTTTATATACATATAAACAGATGTAAGCCATTGTTAGACTAAACATTTTTAAATAAAAGAGTATTACACTTTGTTGTATAACTTAGGTATAATTTATTTTTATGATGCTTATTTATCATTATAAAAATAAATACGCCAGAGTAAAATTAATACTATTATAGCTTCTCATCGAATCTAAAATATATTAGATACAATGTTTGATAAGTATTTAGTAAATTTATTTATTGTTGATCTCATTTTGTTCTATTAAGTTCAAACCGTTAATTTCGTTTTATTTTTTAACGTTTGATCATAGTGATATTTAAGCTGAAGATGGTTTATCAATTTTTCTGTATCAGCAAAATATTTATATTTAATTTGAGAGTCTTCAGAATACTTTTTATATTAAGCTATGGTGTATAATTTTTTTCATGCGTAGGCATTTTATTTTATTTTATTTTTATGTATGAATATATTTTTTCTTACAAATATTAGCTTATGTGGAAC